AAGGAATTACTTAATTTATCTTAGGAATAGTTGTGCAGCTATAAACATGATAAATGTTCTAAGCAGAGCGTTTTTCGGACCAATTTAGACCGAATGTTTTGAGCTGTACGACTAACTTTTAAATCGGGTTGAATTATGGCCCTATTCCGGTCATTTTACCATATTAATTGACTGAACCAACGTAAAGTTTATGACCCACGGTTGAGCTGTACTTTGTTTCACACACTCAAGTTCCTCTTTCTCGCTTTCTGTCTCTCTCTAACTCTCTCTCTCACTCCTGTTAACTTGTCTCTGTTTTTTTCTTTTATTGTAAATTTGTGCCTTTTTGTCATCTTATCTTCTAATAAACTACTGTACATTGGAGACATAAGAAATGAAAAAAGAAGCAAAGCAACTGTACATAACCTTTGATGTAAATGTTTTTTTTCAGTGTTTGTATGTACTGAATGTAAAGAAGAGCAGCAGTCTCCTTACCTTAGTACATTAGTGACATGTTCAATTGTTACAAGTGTCCTTACAACACGGGAACCCTGAAAATAGGACCATTTGATCTGTTAAGGCACCTGTTCTTGGTTAAAGAGCTTGAAAACGTTGTTATGCACCTGAAAGGCTTCCACAACTGAAGAAAGTCTTTTGAAGGAATTGACCAGTTGCTTTTGAAATAAAGAAAGAGTCAGGCAGGTTGATCAGTGTGTAAATAAACGTTTCTTGGCTAAAAGCTGCTACAGTAACTGTGACTGTTGTGAGTGCAACATCACAGTTATTTGGACTGATAAAATATCATAATACAGATAAACCCAGACTTAACATGCCAACACCTTCCATAGCACACGCTTTATTGAGACCTGTCAAGTGAAATATAAAAATAACTTATAGAGAGGAAGAATAACAATACTCTAGGGTAGACCCACTGCCCACAGTCATTGCCCTTTAGGAGAAATCACTGCAGGTTTGTAGTTTGATTGAAATAGCACACATTAAAGCCCAAAGACATTCCACAAGTTAAGAGAGTGAAGGATTATTTATGAACATACAAAGAGGGCTTTAGTGTAACAAATGCCATGCGTCATGGTGACATTCAATAAACAGACATGACCATTCATGATTAAGATAATACTCACTCACCAGGTTGTTAACCAACCTGGGATAATAGCTTGATCCGATGTTACGCTTTAAGTCCAGAGCAGGTTGTGTGTGGGACTTTGTCTTCAGAAGGGGAAAAGCTGAGGCCCAAAAGAGAACCAACAGTCAAACAACGGGACTCAACGTAGGAAAGCAGTTCCAGTCTCTGGACTCCCCTTTGGAGAGCTTCGTCATCTGTGCACAGGGTGTCTGCAGCTTTTTCAAGACACCAAGAGAAAGACACGTTGACAAAGGTACTGTACTTTATGTTTTGTTTTCGGCAAGTACTAGACAAGAGGCTTATTGGAATTTTTTAGAGTAGCAATTTTGAATAAAACAACTTTCACTTTCTTGCTCATATATATTTATATTGCTATTCATTTTTCAGTAGTTAAAGGCAGTGGATCTCGTTCTTTTTTTCTTCGAGCCCCCCACTCTACTTGTACAGGTATATTAAAAAAGCTTGGTAGCTTGAACCCACATAAAAAAGGTGATAAATTGAGATCTATTTTAATTGATTTCATTATAACCTGAATGCGTGGCTAACTGATATTGTTGAGTGAGGAAGCATGTATTTTAACACAGTTTTATTTACAGACCTTTGAATGAACAACCCAATAAGTGTGTCTTCTAAATAACTGAAAATCTAATATTGTAGATTGTAGATGTAAAACTCAAAGATTTACAAAAGTCACACATAAATATTGAACTGCCTTATAAGGCTAACTTCAAGTGCAATAGGGTGATTATGATAATAATGGCTGGGTCCTTGCAATATTTAAAAAATCCTAAAAACACCATGTTGGAGATATGTTATTTTCAGGTGGTTTTATTTTGAAAATTTAGAAGGAATGTTCAAATTTTGTAAAATTCGGATTTGTTGTTGATCCTTCCAGTATCAAATGCCTGGTGTGGTATTATGACAGTAAATCTGGTCTACTAATTAGTCTGGGTGTGTGTGAAGGGCACTATTCACACACCTTTGTGGGGACTCACATTTTGTCAAAAACAAACTCCATAATCATTGTAAGTTTTAGACTTTAAGAAGTTGTACAATTCATATTAGGGTGACCATGAGGTTTAGGCAGAAAGCGGTTATAGTTTAAGCTACACAAATCAATATTTCTGTATTAAGAATGTATCAAATGACACGTAAGAAGAAGAGGAATAGGACACATAACTACAAACACTCAGATAAGCATCTTACTCGGTATGTGTTCATGAAGTCGTCATAATGTTATATGTGTTCAGCTTGTTTCAATGCCACCATGTGGACAAGTGTTTTTGCTATTGCTAACATAGACTAAATTGAACACGGGGTCTTCATAAATAACACAAACCAGTGAGTGTCTACCTTGGAAAAAAATATGTTCAAACACCTTGAAAATCTCTCCTGCAATGCTAGATAAACCAACCAACTTTCGACTATAGAATATCTTTAGGGTAAAGAGTTTCTGTTTTTACCTCTGACCTACACTGCTGCTTTGACATGGATGAAGCTAACAGTGATTACACATGATTACAAAGCCATTTCTGAAATTACTTTCAGGTCTAGGGGTAGACCGGGGTTGGTTGTCACACTCTTTACTCTCTTTTGAATTACTCAGGATCAATATATCTTACAGTAGCTATTTCTAAATTAGAAGGAAGCTGAAGGTATTGAGGTGAAATGTGTATCCCTTTCATTTTTATAAATTACTTGAACAGAAAGTAATTAACCATCAAAGACACTCTGACCCACAGTGTGTGGGGTTGTTTGGTCGTAATGTGCCTGTCAGATTTAACTAAAAGGTTTTGTTAAAAAAATAACAACAAAAAAATATATTTAGGGTAAAGAGTTTTTGTTTTTACCTGTGACCTATGGGCACTGCTGCTTTAACATGGATGAAGCTAACATAGTGATGACACGTGACCACAAAGCCATTTCAGAAATTACTTTCAGGCATCTCTGTCAGGTCTACTATAATCATGCAGCTTGCACCAAACAGTGCAGGTAAGAGGTTTATTTCCGTGTGTATATTTGTTCTTGCTCACACTTTGTTGAGGTGTATTTGTGTTTGTGTGCAACCACAGGGGAGAAAATGAGCACTGGAAGAATTAGAAGCGTTGGGAAGGACAAGTGCAGGTAAGAAACAAAATGTCATACAGACTTCTTCCTCTGTTTGTCCTGGTATGGTCTTCACTGGTAAAAAAACAAGAAGGAACAGGAAGTGGAATTAATTGTAAGCGAAAGCAGAGACTTCAGGCAGGAATAAAGGCAGTACAGAAAAGAATAGGCTATAACCCTCCTGTGCGGTGTTGAGATTGCTTAACCCTCTTAAGTAGATTTGAAAATGCCAGAGTTTTTCTAGGCTCTGTGATAAAAACTGAACTAGTCTCTCGTTCAGCCTTTTTCACTAGACTGGTGCCCCCCCCCCTTCCACTTAACACTTCTGCTAGCTAAAGAATGTGTTTTAAGTCTCTGCATGTGACTCAGTTACATGAAGAAACAGGGGCACCCAAGATTAGCATTGTTTTTATTGTGTAAGGGGCAAACCGTTCTGTTCATTGACTGAATAGAAATGATTTAATAAGAGAGAATTATTAGCACTACAGTATTTTTTTCCCACCTTTCTATAAAGTTATTTATCTTTTAGCTGCACTACTACATAACTAATACACAAAACAACATCCCTGCCATTTCCTTTACTTGTGGAAAACCTAACCAAATGATTTTAATCAGCAAGAGTTTTCAAGTAAAAAAAATGTGGAGACATTTCTTAGTTAACAAAATTGAAATGAAAAATACCAAACATATATCGGCAATCCCATTCTTTACCGTAATGTATGTAATACAGAATCTATAAATGATTGAAATCTGCATATACAACCGCAAAAACTGTCTGGAACCAAAGTTTTTATTTGTAAAATGTTGTCTCGCCAATTACTAAATCTTTAAGACATTTAAGTATTTGGCACATGATTGCTTCATGTGTCGTGTGCCTCCAAATCTATTACGTAAGTTTTCCATTTTTAACTGTTTTGTAAGACTTGTAAGTAATAATTATTTGAGCTTTTGTTTCTTGCATAAACAGCCTACAACAGAGCTGTGTTAGAGCCGACAGGCCTCCTCTCTGGTATTGTCAATCTAACCTTTCACCTATATGAGGAGAGGCTGGATTTGGGCCAAAAGAAGCTAATACTATTGTGTCCCCTATATAGTGCATGACTGTTATTGCATGTTCACATGCATTGTGCTCAGCTGATACAGTGATGCAGTAAACCTCTTAAGGCATTGAAGGGTTACCCAAGTCTTGCAACAATATACTCACAATGAGGAGGATCAGCCTCCAGCCCTGTTCCCTTCCACTCTCTGATACCTCACACACTCACGCACAGACAAAAAAAACACACACACACACACACACACACACACACACACACACACACACACACACACACACACACACACACACACACACACACACACACACACACACATGTTCACATGCCCGTCTCCTGCCTGCGATTATAATCCAAATCTGACTCAATCAAGCCCACATTCCTGAGTCGGCCCTGCTGTTTTGTCCCTCACTGCTCTGTTGCTGCATGACCAAACGGGGCTGTGCCACTGAAGGGACTCTAGCAGACCAGTGCAGGCTGTGTTTTTTTTTCTAATTCAGTTTGGAGGACCTGTATCAGAAGCTGCCTGGAGCACACACAGAGAGCACTGTCTACACAGGAGTCATTTCATGTTACTTCAAAAGGCCTCACATGGCTGCAACCAAAGACATCCAGGGATAAATCCAACCAACGGCATTTTCTCTTCTGGATTTTGTTTGTTTTTTTTCTTCTGACCTTGAGGACACCTACCTAAAAAAAAAAAAGTTGGACCCAAACATGGACGACTTCATCAATGGTCCCCGCCAGCGCTCGGACAGCATGAGCAGCTCAGCGTCTCAGAGCTCCAGGTCCAAGACGCTTCTCCGCCAGCGTCTGTCTCAGCTGCTCACCTGCATAGAGGACATGAGCTCTGACGATGAGGCCAGTGAAGAGGTTTCCCGCACGCTAGATGAAGCCTTTCAGCTGTGTGGGCGCTACATTCCCTCAGATGCGTTCAGGTTGACATGTGCACGTGCTCATCACAGATACACAACTTTTCAGAGTTTCACACTAAGGAAGTGTTTGGGCTCTCTCAAATATGCTTTATACTCTTCTCCTGAAAAGGCCTCATGTTGTAGAACTAGGCTCTAGAACTAGGCTAACTCTAGGCTATACACTAACTTCAATAATTTGACTGGATCATGTCTGTTTTTCTCTCAAGTTGAAAAAGTAATAATTTAGTAGTGTCTTCTGTGGTTTACTCTACTTTACTTTTATTTTACAAATCTAAAAGGATATGGACATACCATTGAATTCTGTATGTATCACATGTCTACATGAATGTATAGGAATGATAGGTGTTTAAAGTTAAGACTAAATTAAATACAAATTTGAAGTGGTTATACTTGAAATTGTTTATTTTTATAATATATATTTTGTATTAGAGCATTTGCAAAACATCATTGTGAAATTATATGGAAACAATTTCACAAAATAACTATTGTACTAGTTTTTATTCCATCATTTTTAATTCTTGTGATGACTTAACCCTCTGCTATAGGCTGCACATGGTGACCTGGAACGTTGCCACAGCGGAGCCCCCTGAAGACGTCACCGCTTTGCTGCAGCTAGACGTCCAGCCCCCCGCAGACCTCTATGTGATCGGGTGAGGGTCAAATAAAATCTTCATCAGGAGTTGCACTAAAGAACAAAAATGCCTCTTTAAACAATTTGGACAGATATAATAAGTAAATAAAAACATATATGTAATAAGCTGTGTTATTTATTTGCTCTGTGCTGGTGTATGACAGCCTGCAGGAGGTGAATGCCACTCCAGTGAGATTCATCTCTGACCTGCTGGTGGAGGACTCCTGGAGCCATGCCTTCATGGATACACTGGCACCCAGAGGCTTCGTTAAGGTAGGAGAGGAAAGAGGGAGAACACACACTTGTATATAAAGCAGTTACACATTTAGGTTGTGTGTTTTCATGTGTGGAACACTTGGTACAAATAATATTGGGTTCAAGCAAACTGAAATGTGAATATGTGAAAACGTCCATAGCCATGGAGCTATGTTCTGTGGTATTTTTTTTTCACATATTGCAACTATTTTTTGAGACTCTTAGTATTTTGCTTAGCTTGAGATATCTATAAGACACAATATTTTTTAGGCTGTAAATGTGCATATTCTCAAAGCATGTTGGTGCATATTAAAACATAGATCTAAAGCAATTTTTTAAACGAGGTAAACAAAAATGTACATGACAAAGAAAAAAAGAAAAAAAATTCAACGGTGATGATTAAAATCTGTCTCCATCTTTGTGCAGGTCACATCAGTGAGAATGCAGGGTTTGCTGCTGCTGGTTTTTGCCAAACAGGCTCATCTCCCCTTCATCAGAAACATCCAGACCACCTACACTCGCACTGGCATCTTTGGCTACTGGGTAAGACCTGGCAACAGCAGACAACGACTCTGTTAAACTGTGCACGCCAGGAATCCCATCGACATCAGACGCAGTGGGGTTTAACACATTATGAAAGGCCTATTGTGTTTGAGAAGTGGAGTGTCCAAGAGCTTTGACGGAATGAAATCACCAACAAAGAACAGTGGAACTGGGGGGGTACACTGGGGAAAACTTTTGCAAGACAAATGATCAAATTAGAAATAAAAGATCTTTACGTAGTTTTAGGTTTTCAGTTCAAGTTTTTTGATCTTTTTTTATTGTCTTGTAAAAACTGAAGAAAATGAGTGTAATTTGACATGAAATTGATCAGCATTAGTTATTGATAAAAAAATATATTTTCTAACATATTATCAGAATTTTTGTGCATTTACTTTACCTTTCATGTCCCTCCTCCTCCTCTGTTTGTCTGTGTCAGGGTAACAAAGGAGGAGTGTCCGTGCGTTTCTCCTTCTACGGTCACATGGTGTGTTTCCTCAACTGCCACCTCGCCGCTCACATGAACTACGCTCTGCAGCGTGTCGATGAAATTGAGTACATCCTTGAGAACCAAGAGTTTGACATGTCGGACACGCCCTACGTCCGTGACCACAAGTCAGTGTGCCCACACAAACTCTACCCCACTCAATACACGCACAGTGTAAATGCATGCACGATGAGTTGTTGTAAATGCATCTCAAATAAGTCTCCATCCCTCTCGCACAGGGTGGTGTTCTGTTTTGGCGACCTGAACTTCCGTATCTCAGACCACGGATTGCACTTCCTCCGCTCGTCCATCAACGGCGGACGTCTTCATTTGCTGTGGGGCAAAGACCAGGTGAACTGCTGTAATAAGAACACATACAAAGCAGACTCTAACTAAAACACCACACATGCTAATTGATTTCATTGCTCTGCAGCTCATCATGATGAAGAAGAAGGAACCTTTCCTACAGGAATTTGAGGAAGGGCCATTAAACTTCAAACCCACCTACAAGTTTGACCGTAACTCTGACACCTATGATACCAGGTAACATTGTGCGACCAACAGATGCATTTCTCCAGAAAAACTCAACACGTGTCTCAGAGTCTTTCTGTGCTTTTGTATCCTTATGATTTACACAGCACGCCGAAGACATGGTTGCATTTTAAGTAAGACACAGTTGGTTTTTTTTCCGTGTTGCATGCCCCACATTCTCATATTTAGTCAGCACATCATCTGTCCTTGTTCCTGCAGTGTCTGCCAGCACGTCTGTAGTTGACACGTTGACGTAAAATAAACAAAAACCAAAAGCAGCTAATCCTGATATGTAGCTTGAGTTTGGAGCAGCTCTTACTGCGAGTTATATTCCATCCTGAAACTAGCACACTCTGTGTGTGTCTCTCTCAGAAAGAGCACTGTGGCTCTGCCCCTAACCATGTACAGACCCAGGCCCCTGCAGCGCTGCAGCACCACCCTCTTCTTCCTCCTCACCTCCCTCACCTGGGGGCTGCTCTCTGTCTGGTTGGGGGCCTGGTACAGGGAGCTAAACCCGCAAAGGTGGGTGTCTCCATAGATACACCCTGTAGGAATGGCTTTAGGGCCCTTTGATGTGGATTTTGACCTTGAAGGTTAACTACGTATGACCTTTAATTGTAAAGAATGGAGACACAGGTTTAAGGGAAAGACACAGAGGGGGTTCATATGGCACAATTGATGTTAAATTTCAGAAAAAATCAAAATCTTCAAATTTCCTCCCGCACCCAGTCCCCCACTGTTTGTTCCTGCATAGTTACCGTATTTTTTTTGTTTGTTATAGTGACTATGCTTAAAAGTCAAACTTTATGATACCATTTCCAATGGTATTGTCACCCCACTATTTCTCCACAGCATGCTAAGCTTTAGCATTAACTCTGCATTGCATGTGAGTGTGATACGTGTGCTCTGTAACAGCACTGTCTCCAGTATTGTTTGAAACTAAGACTTATATGTAAGGTTGACATGGAATTGTGTCCCTCTCAGGTAAGCATATCGATCAGAGAATTCAGCTTCTTCACTCACTGTTTCAAATCTTCAAATCTGCTCTAAACAATGTCTCATTGCTTCGCTCAGTGGCAAGAAGAGGAAACCAGCATGGACAGATCGGATCCTGTGGCGCATCAAGCCCAAAACTCCTCCATCAGGGGATTTTGATGATGATGAGATGGCGTCGACATCTACTGATGAAGAAATCGATGAGTACCCACTCCTGGTCACACAGGACAAATACACCAGTGACATGAGCTATGGGGTCAGTGACCACAAGCCTGTCATTGGAACCTTCAGCTTGGAGGTGAGGGCAGTCTCACTGTAGGATGTAGGACTGATAACCCTGCTTCATTTCTTCTCATACAACCCAATAAATGCTCCTTGTCTTTCCTCTTGTTTTTTCTTCAGCTGAGGAAGCGCCTTGACACCTCACTCGTGCACATTTCTCCTCTGGGTGTATGGAGCGCCGACCAGGATGCACTTCTCACTTACACTGTCCAAGAGGACTTTGAGTCCTCCACATGGGACTGGATTGGCCTCTACAAGGTATTTGTGATAAAAATAGAACAAAACAAGAATAAACACTTTACAAGACAGATCTGAACTCATTGGATTGTTCTCCTGCAGGTGGGATTCAAGAGCGCGTCCGATTATCAAACCTTTGTTTGGGTCAGAGAGGTAGACCTGCCTGAAACAAATGAAGTCATACAGGTGATGTGCTAAAGGGGCAGGTGCATCATGTTTGCACAAATACTGCTTGAGTGTTATTTAAATGAGTGTGTGTGTGTCGGTTGCAGATATCTGTGGATAAGGACGAGGTCCCTCTGCTTGGTGGACAGTATGTTTTGGGTTATTACAGCACCAATTTGCAGAGCATCATTGGCCTCAGCGCTAACTTCCAGGTGAGATTTGAACTGAAACAGTGCAGTTGTAACTTATAATGTTTAATATTAATTTTAAAAAGAAGATAATTATGTAATTCTAGCTCTAGAACACATCAGTATTAGCAGATGTCCCTTTACTGTTTTAGATATTGCCTCACAAAAAAAATAGGGCATGACTAACACTGAAGTCTACAAAATATAGTATTACACTTATTAAAAGAAGGATTTATTCCACTTCTGGTGTACAGAAAGGCAATATATTGTAGTGATATAGTGGTTCGGGTGGCAAATGAGTTTTTTCGCTGGAGGAAGTAAGTGTTTTTGTTGGCTGTTTGGTGAAAAGACGCCATCTTGTTTCTATCTTGCAGATCCTGGAGTCAAAGCGTGCCGTCATGGAAGGCCTCGTTCCTGAGAACAGCAACGGGATTGACAAATAAAGATATAATCAGCCTTGTGCCACGTCTATACCTCTCCCAAGAAATGTTTAAAAGAAAAAAATCAAACGTAAAAAAAAAAAAATGCCCCAAGATCAAGTCCATCGTTTACTGGTGAAGAAGCCGAGAATGACAACCACAGATTGTGTTCTTCTGGTAACTTCAACTTGTTGTTTCCAGCTTTGCCTTTAAGGGGTTCACATTACGTAGAGCTGACTCTTGCTGGAATCGTTTTTTTTTCTACAAAGAAAGCTTATCGCTGTAATGAGTCACTAGACAAGCGTATCCACAGGCCCTCTCTGCATGTTACAGCAGAAACTACAGGCCAAAACAATGTGTGTGAAAGTAGTGGACATGCACTGCAGGTCATAACAGGTCTTAGAGAAGTTATATTTTTGAGATTGATTTGAATGTTTTATTTTTGTCTACAGTGCAGAGGGTTGTACAATACAAAGTAGAGGGAATGCTATGTTGATGCGGGCCATCTGAGGTAACAATGCAGAAAGATGCTACGTGTATTTGACTTTTGAAGTCTTGCTATTCTTATTTTGAACAACTATTGTGGGAGAAAGATTGAACATAGGGGATGGGGATGTTGATGTAGACTGCAGTCAGTTATGATTATATTCAGAATATTCTTAATGTATATGTGATTATATAAGCCTAATGTATACCCCAAAAGGCTCTAAAGTAGGGAGCAAAATCAGAACAATATTATATTTTGTAATGAAGAAGGACTAAAGAGTTTCTAAAGACTTTGATTATTATTCATCTCAGTTGTTCATCCCACATGAATGTTTGGCAGGATGCCTTTATATATTCAAACGCAAAGTGATGATTGTTGTTCAAATAAAATAAAAGTATCACATTTCTGTGTTTTGTGTGTAAGCATGCTTAAGTGAAATCATGTTCTTTGGTTGGGTGATTGATGTATTGATTGATAGAGTGGCCAATATCACAGCAGCAGAACATAATCTGTACATGTGTACGTGTATTGGCATTACGTTCTTCATTATCAAAATGAAATAAATGAAGGAGATACTTCTTAAAGCTGGCAAGCAAGTTATTTTTTTGTCGTAGTTATACAAAATGTTTGAGATCTTATCGAAATTCTAAATTAGCATCTGACTGCAAAGGTTCGACAACATTGTGACACAAAGGGTAATGTACTTGACATTGTAATCATGAAGAGAACAGCTTTAGTTAAATAATCAGTAATAAATACTATGTTATAACAACATATATCTTAGTGCCTTAACACTTTTTTACTATTACCTCTTATGACATCAAAACTGTTTTTATGTTATATCATACTTTACTATGATTTAATGAACAGACGCTATGCTTTGATATATTAAACTATAGGTCTGTTATTTATCTAAACTATGACTGATACATTTGGAAAATAAAAAAAAAACACTTATATGTTAACAAAAAATATTGCATGGCGGAAGAGAGTTTAAATTATAAACTATTAACAGAATACTTCCACGGACCCACAGTCCTATGTCATGTATTTAATGTATCAGGAAAAATAACGAATGTAAGATAAAGTTGACACTAATATTAAATATTTCGAGCAAAGTACCTACATTAACATAATACATTTTAGAGGAATACTATGTTATAAAGGAATAAATAAATAAATCAATTAATTAATTAATAAATAAATAAATAAATAAATAAC